AAGCTCTCTCCCCGCGGATGCGCCGCGCCAGCTGAATGTCCTTCGGCATGATGGTCACCCTCTTGGCGTGAATGGCGCACAGATTCGTGTCCTCGAACAGCCCCACCAAGTACGCTTCGCTCGCCTCCTGCAGCGCCATCACGGCCGAGCTCTGGAAGCGCAGGTCGGTCTTGAAGTCTTGGGCGATTTCACGCACCAGCCGCTGGAAGGGCAGCTTGCGGATCAGCAGCTCGGTGGACTTCTGGTAGCGGCGGATCTCTCGCAGGGCCACGGTGCCCGGGCGGTAGCGGTGAGGCTTCTTCACGCCGCCCGTAGCCGGGGCGCTCTTGCGGGCAGCCTTGGTCGCCAGCTGCTTGCGGGGCGCTTTGCCGCCGGTTGACTTCCGAGCCGTCTGCTTCGTCCGGGCCATCTCTTCACAGAAGTGGGGAAAAAGGGAACTGAAGAAGACAAATTCGCGGGACAGCATTTATACATCCCCTTGCACTTTTGATTGGCTACTGCTAAGAAAAAGCCTCTTTCCATTGGAAGAAAGCTAATCTTTGATTGGCTGAAGCTAGGAAGCCAAAGCTTCATTGGATAATTTAAAAGTGCGCGCAATAATTTAAGACCGCCACTTTTAGCCTTTTTGCTACTGTACTTGTATTTAATTTAAATTGATATTCTATCCTTTCCCCAAGAATTACTGTACTTTTGAAAAGCCGGAAGGTAAAATCTATTTTTTCCCGTTCGTTTGCAGCTTGACTGAAAATTATTGAGGAATGTAGCAGATTATTACTAAAGCGGTTCCCCCCCCCAATATTCTTTTGGAAGAAAGTGCCTTATATTCAATTACTCAATGGGCACCAATTTCATCTATGCACGTGTACCTGTTGAGAACATGGTTTCGCTTCAATTATAACATTAACAATTATTAAATCCTAAGTATTCTGTCTCCAGTTTATTAAGAAAATAGCTATTTAATTTATTTAGCTCTTCTGAGAAAAATTATTCTATCGTGGACAGTGGAAAACGTTTTGAGATGACACGATCTTAGGAGTATGAAATCATTTAACAGACTTCTTGAAAAGCTTTTTTATGTTTAGTAACTTATGTGCGCTCAAATACAAGGACACTTTGACTCTCCGGAAAGGACAATGAAACAGAGTGGAATAAACGAGTGGCTCTCCCAGGTCCAGTATTGTTTTTGAAATTTTATACACGCTGAAAGAGCAACTCTCTTAAAATATCGTTAATCTTCTTTTTCCGGTCTCCCTTGTAATCGGGGAGGGAGGAAAGACAGATAGACACGCGAAGTTAGCTATGGCCAATACATGCCACAATAAATGTCCCTATAACAAACCAAGTAAGTGCTGCTTTATTTTATACTAGCTTTCATGCAAATAAAAGGGTTCTGGTTCTAGTTTTCTATTGGATAATAGAGCAAAGCGTTACGACTGATTGGATTACTTGACATCGAGCAGCTATTGGCTGTTCAGACGACGTCTTAGTGTGAGCCTATCACAAGCGCAACACAAAACCCTTTGATAGGGAAGAAAAAGACCTGTAATTCAACCTGAGCGAACGAAACCTTCATTCACAAGCATTTTTAAAGTTATGCCGCATTCATTCTATTTCCTGGTCTGGGAAACGGAGCATCTTTTCTTCTTTTTAATTAAAAGGCGGGATTTACATTTATTTAGTCTTATTTAAGTTTTTAGGAATTCGAAGCAAACCTGGAAGGATTGCGATATCAGTGATATATTTCATAAGACACAAACTCGATATAAACGCCCTGGCCCACTAATATATATTGCCTAAATGGGACTGCTTAAAGTGGAAAGTGAAAGCCGTGACCCCCGTGCACGCTTAATGAGAAAGTGCCCACTTGACTCAGTGGCATTTGTTGCCCAGTTGCTTCTTACTAACCAGATAAGAGGCGGAAACCTGCTATTCCCCGCTCCCTCCCCACACTTTTCGGAAGTAACGATTCGTCTGATTTAGTGTATATAGAGCCCCGTTTAAGTGCACTTGCTTTGAAGCTCAATAAATCGCTGCCCAACATCCCGAAACGCTACAGAATGATGCCCCAGTGTACAGGATTCCGCCCGAGCCGCACTGCATTATTTTGTTTCACGATATTAAAGCACTCAGTGTTTTACTGAGCGGACAACAGCTCTCTTTTGGATTCTGTGGGTGGCTCTTAAAAGAGCCTTTGGGTTTTTAGAAAAGCAACCACGGGCCAAGTCTGGATTTACTTCTTCTTGGGCGCCGCCTTCCTCCCTTTGGCCGCCTTAGGCTTGGTCTTGGTCTTGGCCGTCTTCGGCTTCACAGCCTTCGCTTTGGCCGGGCTTTTGGCGACTTTCTTGGGCTTGACCGGTTTAGCCTTTTTGGGGCTCTTGGTGGCCTTCTTAGCCGCCGCGGGCTTTTTGGGTTTCTTCGGACTCTTCTTGGCCGCCGCCGCTGCCTTCTTGGGCTTCTTGATGCCACTCGCGGGCTTCTTGGCCACCGGCTTCTTAGGCTTAGCCGCTTTCTTTTTGGGCGCTTTCTCTTTCGCTTCGCCCGATTTCTTGCCGAGTTTGAAAGAGCCGGAAGCGCCGATTCCCTTCGTATGCACCAGGGTACCTTTGCTCACCAGGCTCTTCAGACCCAGCTTGATGCGGCTGTTGTTCTTCTCCACATCGTAGCCCCCAGCGGCCAAGGCTTTCTTCAGGGCAGCCAGAGACACCCCTTTGCGCTCCTTGGAAGCGGCCACCGCCTTAGTGATCAGCTCGGTGACGCTGGGACCCGCCGCCTTGCGCGCTGCTTTCGCCGCTCCCGCTTTCTTCGCCTTCTTCGCCGGAGCTTTCGAAGTTACAGCAGGGGCCGCGGCCGTAACCGCAACAGCAGGCGCCGTTTCAGACATGATCGCCGAGAGAACTAAATTAAAAAAAAATATATCTCCAAACACAAAAAGTGAGCTCAAGTAGGTCAGCCGCTGTTTATTTATAGAGCTGAGCTGCTTTGTGATTGGTCCGCTTCAGAACCCGCCCTGTTCCAAGGCTGAAGGGACTCTTCCGACAGCTCAGTTTGTGTTTCTTTAGAGTTAATAAATTGCAATTTTTACAGAATTTGTGCCTCTAAATAACGAAATCTTAGAATGGGGGAAAGAGGAAGGTGTTCTTTTTATTCCTTTAATTTTTGAAAAAGCAGAACGCAACGTATACTTTTTAAAAGGGCACATAACCACCGAATGCAGGATCTGGGAAGACCTGGAAAGAGTGGAAGTTTTGTTTTTCTTTGTAAATTAAAACTATGCATTTTTTAAAATGTTCGGAAAAACTATGCAGATCACTTCTTTAGATAGTAATCTCTGAGGTGAGGCACAATATGTGGGTTTTAGCATAACAGCCTTATTATAAATCAAGTTCAAGTAAACTGAGGTAACACAGACTTCTACAAACTACAGTCACCATTGCTGATCAAGCAAGCCCTAAGCAAGCCACTATCTCTAAATAAAAACTGTCAGATAATGTAATAATATGGGCAAAAATTGGAATTTCATGTGCTAATATATGTGCTGTAATGTCCTTTTCTCACATTTGCAAATAATCCTATGTTGGATGCAAAAAGGCATCATAGAGATTGTCCATTTTAGTTGGACCTTTTACAACTCAGTTTAGAAAGACTAACACCAATATTCCTGGCTGGGGATTGAATAATATTAAACTTAAAAGGATTTTCTTGTTGAAATTTCGCCCAAGAATATGAAATAATATGATCAGACACATATCTATTCATAAGAGACCTACATTCTGCTGAATTCAATGGGATTTATATCTGGAAAAAATAGAGACAATTATAGTTTAGATACAATTTCACACTTTTCATTGGAGAAAAGCTTTATGAAACAAGTATTTTATTAAAAATTCTGTTCTATGCCTCAGTCTAAATAAATGCATTCAGCATGAAAAACACTGTGCTGTCAAGGGAATTTATTTTTTTAATTAGTTTGGCATTAAATCCTTAGTTTGAACTGTTCTGATTGCTGTATATCACCATATTTCCCTTGTTACATTTGAATACAAAATAGCCTTTAAAGCTGCATCCTACTTATTTGAGTGAAAGTCTCAAGTCATGAGATTCATTTACACTGTAAATTTAGAGTGTACACAGAGTGAACAAATGTAAGTGCTTTCACATACCTTTAGAAGCAATGGGTATGTGAAATTGCAAATGCTGGGCATGTCAGGAGTCAATGGAATTTATACTCAAATATTTGTACATAGGATTATGAACTTTTAGAGAATCCAAGGTAAGTCTATGGTACTAAAACATTCCACTGAGTTCAGCCTTTTCTCCCAAGTCGGAAAATAGGATTGTAAATCAAATAGATTTGATCCTTCACTCTCTTCCAGAACAACGAACCTCTTAGAATACTTCATTTCATTTACCACTATCTTTCCTGAAATGCATCTAGTGAAAACAACCAACAAAATCAGTTCTGTGAAAACTCAAGAGAAATGGAAACTGTTGATATTTAGGTAGGTGGCTTTAAACTTTGAATTATACACCTATTTTATATATTTTCAAATGATATGAAGAATTCTGAAGTGAGTTCTAGTTCTCCTTTAGGCATGAAAGCTGGCTGGGTAATTCTTAGCCCAATTACCTCACAGGGTTGTTGTGGGGAAAATGAGCGGAGTATTGTGTTTGCTTCCTTTGTAATAGTAATACAGGCAAGATTTTTTTAAAAATAGTGTCTTTCTCTACCGTACACACATATGTATGCCCTCCGCTACATTGAAAATTTAACTGCAGCAACAATAGCATTTTGTTAGAGCAGCAACCAAGAAATCCTGAAGCTCTCTCTCTCTCTCTCTCTCTCTCTCTCTCTCTCTGGTGAGAGGCGAAGATGCTGCGGAAAGTCGCAAAAACAACACAACACAGTGGTAGGCGGGGCTTTCTGGCATCAACCAAAAGCGCGCGTTTTCAAATCCAGAAGCTTTCCAATGGCAATTGCCTTCCTAGAGCTAGCCAATCAAAAGAGAAATTGGAATCGCTATAAATCAGGCAACGAGAGTCTCAATCTTCCCTTAAGACTTTTTCTCGCCCACCTTTGGCGCGAACAGGGGGATGGCCCGGACGAAGCAGACGGCTCGGAAGTCAACCGGCGGCAAAGCGCCCCGCAAGCAGCTGGCGACCAAGGCTGCCCGCAAGAGCGCCCCGGCTACGGGCGGCGTGAAGAAGCCTCACCGCTACCGCCCGGGCACCGTGGCCCTGCGAGAGATCCGCCGCTACCAGAAGTCCACCGAGCTGCTGATCCGCAAGCTGCCCTTCCAGCGGCTGGTGCGTGAAATCGCCCAAGACTTCAAGACCGACCTGCGCTTCCAGAGCTCGGCCGTGATGGCGCTGCAGGAGGCGAGCGAAGCGTACTTGGTGGGGCTGTTCGAGGACACGAATCTGTGCGCCATTCACGCCAAGAGGGTGACCATCATGCCGAAGGACATTCAGCTGGCGCGGCGCATCCGCGGGGAGAGAGCTT